GAGGAGATTTTTTAGGGATTTTTCACTAGATCTTGATGTGCTTGGCTCAGTCACTAAGGCTAGTGTCTTGGATTCATCTTCTTTTTCATCTTTTATTTCTTTCATCTCAAACTCATATGCTTTTAGATCACTAAAGAGCTTGTCAGTTGTCAAGGTTCTTAGATCTCTGCTATCTCTCATAGCAGTCACCTTCATGTCCCACTTTGAGGGCAGGCCTCTCAAGACCTTGAGGGAAATCTCCTTTTGGGATAGATCTTTCCCTAGGTCTGAGACCTCTGCTATGATCTTTAGGAACCCGGATTCCATCTCATGAATAGACTCATTAGGCAGCATTTTGAAGTCCTCAAATTTCTTGAGAGCTATGGTCAGTTTGTTATCCTTTTCTTGTTCATCACCAGCTCCAATCTTAGTGAGCTCATCCCAGACATCTTTGACAGTTTCACATTTCCTGATTCTGGGAAATATGGATTCATCAACAGATTTGAAGAGAATGTCCTTGGCAATGTTATCAAGGTTGTTTCTCTTTCTGTCCTCAGTTGTCCATTCCAATTTAGGTTTTGGAATGTACACATCTTCTTGGTCATCAGCTTTAGATGTGCTGACCTTCATTATTCTGATAGGTCCAGCAGTAATTACTTCAAGCATTTCATCATGTAAAGCACTAAGATGTGCCTTCATCCTTATCTTCCAGTCATCAAATTTGTTCAAGTTGAACAACAGATTCTTTGCTAGCTGACTGTCCATTTTTAGAAAGTGTTTGGGAAGTATAGTGGTTTTCGATCTTTAGTTAAAATTAGTCAGAAACTGACTCTAGGAACACTCCGCTTTGATACCACTTGATGGCCCCGGATAGGGGTAAAAGTCTAGAGGGAGGGTGAATAGACTTTTAATCTTTTCAAACTTTAAAAACTTTTCCCTTTCAAAGGAGTTGATCTATAATCTTTGGATAGATTTATAGATGCACAGCGGAAGTCTTTACCCTATATGGAATCAGTGTGTTAATACTTTCTATCTTGGTAGAAGATTGAACCCAAATGTCTAGCAGTTGGCTTGACAGTTGGCTTGGCAGTTGGCTAGACAGCAGGGAACTGCTAAGGCAACTGCTGAGGAAATATTGAGTGTTTGATGAAAGTGATGATGGAATGTTTCTGAGAATGATGAGGACTTTCAGAAAATGTGCTTTAGTGAAGGTAATCAGAAGTTTTACTGGAGCAGTGGTCTCAGTAGTTGGGCGGTGATGAAGGAACTGCTGAGGTACGTGCTTAGTTTAGAAGGTGATTTGCAGAGAGCAGTTTGGTCAACCTCCTAGTTGGTAATGTTATGAAGGTCTGGTGATATTGAGATGTTCAAGGGAAATAAGTGTATATGAGCAGAGGGCTCAGCAGTTGGGTGGTCACCAGGGAACTGCTGAGGCACCTGCTATACTTAGAAAATGAATTTCCGGAATCTGATAGAACAGGCCTTTTTGTGATATTGATGCACGTCTGTTGTGTGAAAATGATCTCAAAGAAAGTAAGTAATTAAGCAGTAGGATAAGCAGTTGGGTCAGTTAAGACAACTGCTTAGGATTCTGCTGGCAAACTTCAATCTTTTTGTGAGAAGTGCTAAGTGTGTGCTTTGTTGAATAAATGTAAATCAGCACACAGTGTATCCTGGTTCAGAGGTGGTGTAATCCTCCTACGTCCAGTCCCACCCTCTTTCAGATGGATTTCACTAAAGTATTAAGCCCAATACACTTAGTGCCAATTTAGCCTTTACAATACTTAGGCCTAGATTGAAGGTTTTTCACAGTGAGTATAGCACCACTCAAAGTTACTCAGTCCTTAGATTTTTTCTCAATTAATCGAGTGGGATTAAAGGGTACTCTATCTATCTATCCACACCTTAGGATTTGAACAACGGTTCTCCTAAGTGTTTACAACAGTTTGTGAAATGTTACAAGAAAGTTCTAACCTCCAACTAGGAACTAAACTTCTATGATATAACAATGAATAGCTTATAAACTGGAAATTTAGTGAAGCATGAGTCCAAGGAGAGAGTAAAGTTTAGAATAACACTTTCTCTTTTGCTAGATAGCTCATGAATGCTCGTGGAAGAATTTCTCTACTTTGGATGCTCAAAGCTTGGTTAGAAAGTTTCGTTTCAGCCTATATTTATAGGCTTCTCCTTTGGATTAATCTCATCTGTTGGTTAGGATGAATTAATCTCTGGCGTTGAAAGTAGACAAGGACGACTTGTACATTCATCTTCTTGTGTTGGAGCTGATTTCGGGTGATTCCTTTGTCTTGCATTATTTGGCCGCTTAAACTTCACTTCAGGAGTCAGTCCCATGTATGCGTACACTTCTCCGGACCCCAGTACTTATTTGGCATTAAATGACGGTCATATTTGTCTTCAATCATACATATTCAATGTATGTAATATTCAGGTATCTTAAAATGTGACATTTAATTAATCTTTGGACTGAATGATATATACCGGTAGGATCAGAATATCCTATTAAGGTAAATAAAAATTACCTTATTGCATTTTTATTTTTCCGGTAGTATTTCATTAGTCTCAAAAATTATATATTTATTTTTGTCACACTTTTGATTGTTAATACAAGAATAAAACTTAGACACAATGTACACGTGTCAAGTATAGTGGCATCATCAAAATTTTTCAAAATTGGGTACTAACACCTATAAATAAAGGCAGTATGGAGCGAACATACCCAAGAGTTCCCAATTCCTAATAGCCTCACACATCATTCTTGGAACTCTCACGTTAGAATAGAGACTAAGCATCTACACAATTTATTCCGCATCTATTGTTCTCGTAGAGCACCTCTAGGTTTCTCTCTCAACAATTCATACGTGTATTATGCTATATTGATACATCATTATGAATATACGGTATTGATTGTTGATAAATTATTCTTCTTATTCTACTCAATTTCTCCATATTATTGTATAGATTATATTCGACTATTGATCTGGGATTCACAAACTAGTACATGATTGGAGAAGTTTGAGTAGTCATTCATTATTTATAACCCATTAATAACTCCATTTTTTTGTCGTGGAACTTAACTTGTGAGTTGTATTTCTCCCTCCGTCCCTAAAAAACTTCTCACTTTGCTTTCTTAGATGTCCCTTAATAAAGTTTGTGCTCCTTATTTGATAAATAAATCTATACTAATTTATTCTACTATCCTTAAATGATAATTGCACCACATTGCAAAACAGTGTCAAAATAGTGTATTTTACAGTAAAATTTATCTCTCAATTAAAGAGCATTCCAAGAAGTCAAAAGACTAAAAAAAAAGGGATGCAGCCTCAGAGCAATTCATATGTGCATTTCAGATGTGACTGCCCAAAAATGTAATTTTCAATGTTATTGCCAAGTATTAAGAGTGGGTTGCTATGAATATAAGATGCAATTTTGCAAAAAAAATAATTTTGAAATCCAAAATCGAAGAGTTAATATTTTAATCTTTAAATGTTTTTGCCAGAAAACTCTTTAATTCTTCTATTTTTCTATTTCGAATTTATAATTAATTTTTGTTGTTTTTTAAAATTTATTTTATTTATTTAAAATCAATAAAGATAAATTCGCTCCTTTATACTTTATAGGAATATGCAAGGTAGTTTTGCACCTTTAAAAAGTGCAAAGTATATATGCAACTCCACATATACTTCAGAAGTATATTTGTTCCAATAATAGAACAAGGATATATTTATTCTCACTCATACTATAGATGTATATTTGTACGTTTTCCGTATTAAAAAATAAATTGATTAAAACTTCTCAAAATAAGAGTAAATTGAGTCTTGTTCTGGGAATAAACAATGATAATTATAGTAAATTTATAATAGTAGTACTTCGTGCGGAGCCATCCATCTTAATAAATACTAGTAAGTGGGAGCATTGGAGTGTTTTTTTTTCGAATTAATGTTAATTAATTAATTAATAACGAAAATAGGGTTGGGTTAAAAGTATTTACCAATATACTGTTGGGTTAACCGTGGTCGGGGGTAAGTCGCCCAACGGTTGGGCGACTTATAAGTCACCCAACGGTTTGGCGACTTATAAGTCGTCCAACCGTTGGGCGACTTTCCATTAAGTAAAAACAGCGGCCAGCCAAAAAACAGAACACTGCGAACGAAACTCAATCCCCAAATCCCCCAAGCAGCAGCTACGAAGGACGAAGGACGAACGACGACCGAGCCATTTCCAGCTCTGGCGAACTTCCATATCCGGCGACCCCACTCCGGCAAACCTCCATCTTCATCTTCAACACTCTTTCTTCTTTCTTGTAGGTAAATCAAACTCCATTTCATCTCATTTTTAACTTAGGGTTTTGAATGTTAAAATTTTCGAATTTTTATATTATGAATTGATTGTGAATTGAGATGTTGTGAAATGTGGATATGTATGAAATGTTAAAATTTGATTTGAAATTGATTGTAAATTTTAAAGTGTATTTTGACATTTGGGCATTTGGGTGGATTTGAATGTAGCTAAATTTGGGTATTGAAATGTAGACTTGAATGTAGATATCAAAATTTGGGTATTTTCATATTGAAATGTGAGTTGTTTGTGAATCTTGACTTTTGGATATATTTGAATTGTTATTAGAATATGGATTTCTCAAGTTTCCCAATCGTGTGTCATTAGGGAGGGAACTATTATGAGGATGCTGGGCAAATATGTCATGAAGGTGGTACAACCACATTTGTCATGGTTTTTCGTGGTGCTTGCATGCTCGAGATCCTTCAAAAAATACATGCAGCCACAATGATTCATCCTAGCCGTTCTTTGCGTTTGAAAATGAAATTTCCCATGAACGGGGAAAAGTACATGCTTATGCCCCTCACTGATGAGCTAGCTATAACAAATATGTGGGGTATATTTCAGATGGAGGACATGTCAATGCTTGAGATATACATTGAGGAATCCATATGTGACGCTTATAGTACTCCATCAACATCAAATGTTGTTGTATCTAGGCACTATGTCAATGCATGTGTGAATGCTGGGAACTCCTCAAATGCTCATGTACTGGACATGGTTATACAGGAAGATGGTAGGTATTTGCACAACGGTGCATCATTTGTGGATGGGCAGGGAAGTGATGATGATGCTGACGACAACATCAATGGTGAAGATATGACAGAATCTAATGAAGATGATGGTGATACGGTCACGTCAACTGCCCCGTCTACCCACTTTACTAGAATGTATGATCTCCCTGAAGGCTTTACTGATGCGTGGCTGAGTGGATCAGGTGAGAAAAGGTTTACCCCCGAAGGTGAGTTTGAGGTCGGTCAAAAGTTTGACAACAAAGAACAAGTCATCAATATGGTGAGCTTGTATTCTATCAAATGAAACCAATTTTTTCGGGTGATAGAGTCCGATAAACACAGATGGGTGGCACAATGCGAAAGAAAGAATGTAATTGCCCCTGGAGAATACGTGCCACAAAGAACAAAGGCAACCTTGACACTTTCACAATTGTGCGTTATCCTGGACCTCATTCTGCTACGTGTGTTGGGAACACCGACACTACCGATCACGTGGCTTTGACTTCAGATTTCATCTGTAAAGATGTGATTGACATTGTTCGCACTGATCCTTCCCTTAAAGTGCATACTATCATTGAGATGCTGAAGGAAAAGTATGGGTATACGGTATCATACCGGAGAACATGAATGGGGAAGCAAAAGGCCATAGCAGAAATATTTGGCGGTTGGGAGAAGTCATATTCTGAATTGCCCCGTTTCATGACAGCGCTCCAACATTCAAATCCTGGAACTATTGTGCAGTGGTACCCCACCCCCTAATACTCCCACAGGTTATATGCAGTTTCAAAGAGTTTTTTGGGCATTCAAGCCATCAATACATGGTTTTAAGCATTGTCGACCCATACTTACTATTGATGGCACACACTTGTATGGAAAGTACAAGGGTACATTGCTCGTGGCCATGAGTTGTGATGCGAACAACCAAATATTTCCAGTGGCCTTTGCAGTTGTTGAATCTGAGAATGGGGATAGTTGGCCATGGTTTATGGTATGTATTAGGCAGTTTGTCACTAACCGGGAGTTGTGTGTCATTTATGATCAGCATGGAGGTATTGTCAGGGCAATGAATGAGGTGGGCAGTACTTGGGAGGAGCCTTATGCGCATCATAGGCTATGTATCTGCCATCTTGCATCGAATGTGCACACTCATTTCAAAGACATTCATCTAAAAAAAATTGTCTGGACCGCACGACAACATCAGAAAAAGAAGTTTGATGATGGGTTCAAGAAGATAGGTGAAATGAGTTTGGAGGCACAACAATTTCTGGGGAACATTCCCCCGGAAATGTGGTCATTGCACCACGATGGCGGGTACAGATACGGTACCATCTTTTCTAATCTGACAGAGGTTTTCAATAGCGTGCTAAAAATGCTAGATATTTGCCCATCACCGCTTTGGTCCAGGTTTCCGTTTACTGGGTTAATGCTTATTTTGTTAATAGGCGTGAAACCAGTAAGATGAGAGTGACAGAAGGCCACGAGTACTCCCCATACATCACAGATTTAATTGATAAGAATAGAGAGAAGGCCAAGCATCACATAGTTACTCCATTTGATTTAGGCCGAGGGTTATTTCAAGTGGAAACCGGTTGTGGTGGCCGAACGTTGGGGAAGGGTGGGAGAAAACAAATTGTCCATCTGAAACGGAAAACTTGCACTTGTAAAAGGATGGAGATATATAAGATTCCATGCTCCCATGTGTTAGCCGTGTGCAGACAACGTAGCTTGTCTTATGCTCCATTTGTGGATAAGTTTTTCTCATCTGACCAATACGCGGCCACATATCATAAAGCCTTCAAACCCATTCGTGATCGTGATTATTGGCCTACTTACAATGGACCGGAAATCGTGCATGATCCATCCATGTTTCGGGCTAAGGGAAGACCTAAATCGCACGTATTAAGAATAAGATGGATGAAGGTCCCCGAAGAACGGTTAGATGTGGAAAATGCCACCAAACCGGCCATAATAGGGCCACATGTGCGAATAGATCATCAAGACGCGATGGGGGATCCAGTGGGTAAGGTATTAATTATAGTAATTCACAGTTCATCTCAGCGTTGCATGAAAACATATTAATTAATAAAATGGATGATTAAAAAAAAATTAGTATAATAGTAAAAATTAACTAATACGATTTTGTATGTTTGTAGGCATGCAGGTGACAGCGGATCCTAGGCCGAGTGATCAAGATGACCATGACAACTTCTACTTTGTCTTTTGTATTGCAAATTTTCTTGTACATCATTTTAAATAATTTACAACATTTTAGATGTTGTAGGAACAATTTACAACATTTTACGTATTTTCTCTTGTATGTTGGATTTATGTGTTCGAGTATGAATATTAGATGATTAATTGTTATGAATATTTGATGATTGTACTGTATTTTACCGATGTGTTGTATGTGTTTGTGTATGCTTATGGACATGTGTGTTGTATGTTTTATAATGTGTTGTATCTGACTCGTAACAGTTAAACAGGAGAAGGGAGACCTTATTTATAGCAAAAAGATGCATCTAGGTTGAACTGGGGCAAAAAAACTGATGAAATTCTGTTTTCAGAATTAGGCACGATCGTGCCTACCCGTGAAGGCACGATCGTGCGTGGCTGGCAGTAGCTGTTGATTTGCGTTCCTATGAAAGGGGAAAGTCGCCCAACGATTAGGCGACTTATAAGTCGCTAAACCGTTTGACAACTTGTAAATCACCCAACCATTGAGCGACTTTCCCTGACCATGGTTAAACCCAGCAGTAGATCGATAAATATATTTTTTCCAGCATTATTTTCATAATTAATTAATTAATTAACATTAATTCGAAAAAAACTCGGAGCATTGATGTAAACATCTCCTTAATAAATTAAAAAAAAACATGGTATTTGCACTTCAGACGAGACTGCTCAAAAATGTAATTTTCAGAGTTATTGCCATGTATTAGGAGTGGGTTGCTATGAATGTATGATGCAAACAAAGTCCTGCACCTTCAATTGTTCTGCAATAGGTAGAACGTACAACTTTTAACTGATGAAATGCAGACTCGCTATCTAACTCAAAAGACAATAAAACAGAACATCCAATCCATTCAGGAAATGCAATTTCAGAGTGTGTTGGGTGACTTTCCATCAGACCAATAATTCAATATACGAAGTATTATTTAGCGTTTCTTCTTTGCAGCACTGGATTTTGATGGTGTTGCCACAAGGTATACAAACACAACTACAATGGAGATCACAGAAGCCAACGACCCATATTTTGCAAAAACTCTCTACACAAAAAAAAACATCATATAAACTGATGAATCAAGAGTTACAAAGTTCTTACATCAGTTATGTTTTGGTCCTCTTCACTTTTTTTAACTTCTTATTCCATTTCCAATTAGTTCAGGTGAGAGTGCAAGACCAGACCACAACACCAGATCAGATCTTTAAAAAATCCAGATCAGATCACTTCATCAGTCAAAGAGAACCCATCCTTATTCCCGAATTGAGAACATCCATCATGCATGTAACATCGATTATAGTCCTTACACAAAAGGATCATTGCTACCCAATTTGCAACTAATGTTGTGAACATTGTTTTTTCATTTTTAAATTAAAAGGGAAATATAGGGCATATACCGTAAACTTTTTGAAGCGTGATATACTGATATAGTTCTCTCAGTCCGAGTTATGTTTTACATATCCATCTACATGTTATAATACTACCTCCGTCCCGCTATGATCGTCTCATTTTACCTTATCAGTCCGTCCCACTAAGATTGTCTCATATCAAATTTGGTAAAGTTTGTGTGGCTCAAAAGCATTCTTACTTAATTCTTACTTTATCAATTCAATATCAACCACATAAATCAATATTTATTAATTTGCGTGTCACTCTCTCTTGTCCCATTGTTAGAGGCACAGAGGGAGTAGAACTTATGAAGAGTCAAATCAGAATTATTGTGCTGTTAATTTTAAAAAAGAATTATATTATCATTTTAATAACGCAAAACAGATTTGATGGACTAATTATCAGAGGTCTGATTCACCAACAGGACAGACTGTGATGGATCAGGAATTAATAGTTGCCAGAAGATGAGACAATGGTAGGTACGTGGAAACCCGAAAATGGGCACGGTACCATATTCAGGGCATGATCCAGAGAACACAAGCTTCTTCAGCCACTATGTTAGAGGTTGCACCCAGTCATCCGAGTCAGACCAGATAGGCAGGGCAATATAACCCATTACTAAGACGATGTCTAAACACTAAAAGGAAAGTATTTGCACATTTCAGATATAATTCCCTCGTTTACATGCTACTGAATGAAGATGACCAGAAATGTGGACAATGTGAACATTCATTATTGAAAAAGAAAGGATGACACCCTAGGGCCCCCCAGAACCTACCGGACAACTACCTGGAGGATGTAAAGAGTTTGATCTCACTCTGATGGAAAGAGAGTGGGGCTCCATCCCAAGTCATTGCTTGGAGTTGAACCCGAGACCTCTCTCTTGTGGCACCCTCTTCCTACCAGGTGAACTACGCCCCAGTAATTGAGAAACTTTATAGCATGTTAGTTTTAATTTATACTTGCAATCATGGAACTAATACACTATTTTCTATTTTCACAAGTTTTCACTTTTCACACATTAAAGTAACCTACCGTAAAAATGTTGTTTTTCTTGTTTCCTACTTTCATGCTTCATTAATTCAACAACAACAACATCCAAGTCTTAATCCCAAAAGAATTTGGGGTCAGCTAGCATGAATCGATCTATGATATTGATGCTAAACAGAGAGACAGACGGGAGGTAAGATAAAACGGATAAAATAAAAATAAATAAATATAAGATAACAATAACATAAGAATATAAGAAAGATAAAAGATAGAAAGATAAAACAGCATAAAAAGGCTAGAAGATAAAAATAACATAAGAAAATAATAACGATAAAGAAGATAAACGATAAAAGAAAAGAGAGGAAATGTAGAAAAAACATCGATCGTCCACACGGATGTGCGCCCTCCACTTTGCTATCTCCAAAATCATCCAACCCAAAAAGCTAGAAGCATGAAATGTAGAATATTAGAGTTAAGCCGATATGAAAACACTTGTGTTTGAGTTTTTGGTAAATTTCAAATGTTTAGTCGAAGGATTAGTAAAGATCTTTAAGAGCCCGTTTGGTAACCTTGTTTTTCGGCTTATCAGGGCTTATCAAACAACTTTTTCACAAAAAACGTAACTTTTGATTTCACGCGATGAATTGTGTAATAATAAGAACAAATAAGGTTGGAGTTACTTTTCTGGCTGTATTGGCTGAATTTACTGTAGAGGGTGATTTTAGCTATTTCTTCGTATACTTTTTTCTTTATCTTATTAATAAAAAATATTTCAAATATAATTTTTTCATAAATCAGCAGAATCAGACAATTCAGCCACTTCAGCAAGCACTTCATAAATTTCAGCAAAATCAACCGATTCAACCAATTTATGTGCTACCAAACGGCCTTTAAATCTTGGAGTTACTATTCAAACTTATAACTCTGGTTATAGATAAACATGATACACGGTAGTCAAATTCGTGAGGCGCGCTCAAGGCGTAAAAAACGTTCGCCTGACTCAGATCAAGCACACTATTTAGAAAATATTATGTATATTATTTTAGAGTGATCAAATATGACATGTTCAACATCAAATAGAACTAAATGCATTAAGAAGTCATATTCTCAAAAACAAAGTCATGATTCACCAAAATAAACTCATGGTTCACAAAAACCAAAAACACAAAATGGGGTCTGTCTTTGTTGAGTTTGCAATTTCAGCACTAGGAGTAGCATAAACAATAGTGAATGAAACTATTAACTGTTAGATTATATGAAGTTTTTATACAGTTAAAATATGAAATGATAATAGGAAGATATAGAATTATAGACTATAAAATAAGATGAAATAATATAGTTCATATAATGTAAACTGGTAGTCAGGTAAATATAGTATGTTTGAGTTATATAGAATATATTAGAAGTAAAAAGAACTATAAAGTATGCATAGATGACTGGAACTGATAAATGTAAACAATGAAGATAGACTGAAAGAATAAAATGAAAAGGATCACCAAGAAGATGACAAAATAAATGAAAACTAAAAGCTCAAAAAAAAGGTTATGGGTTGCTCAAAAAGAAAGGTTATGGGTTGCTAAAAAAGAAAGGTTATGGGTTTCTGGCTTCTGTGGGTTGATCGTTGAATGGTTTCAGCGTTGAGCATGTTGCTTAAGTAGAGCACATAGCAGCATAGGAGAGTAACGATTAAGTGAAGATAGAAGACTTTTCCCATGACTAAGAACTAAGAAGGGTTTAATATGGGTTTAAGTTGTTTTTACCTGTTGGGGCTGCATCTTATTATAAGTATGGGCTTATATTTAAAGTAAAAGTAGGATCAAACAAAAAATAGGCTGAAGCGACTTAAGTGTGCACTTTTCTCAGCGTCTACGCTTCCGGCCTAAACTGCGCCTCAGACGGGGAGTTGCGCCTGGCCGTTGTTCACTTGCTAAGCCTGGTGTGCTTAAGCGCCCAGGCGCTTGCTTTAGACTACCTTGCTTTATACCACATGAAGCTACATATGATGTCTAATAAGCCAAAAGGATATGAACTATGAAGACATGAAGTGTCCATTGCCCAAAATAAAAATTAATGTTCTCTTTGTCTTGGACTTCGTAACATATCCCATTATTTCCATATATATTACCACAATATTCATTATGACGATGATTGGGGTGATAATTATGGTAAAATTAACGCTGAAAATAGAAATAAAAACATACCTTTGCCTGACAAGTGATAAGACATCAAATAAGACAATCCCATGCAACAAAATAATAAGAAATTAAGTAATGTTTCTAGTAAATCAACATACCATATATAAGATAACCAGAATTGATATATGCAGTTAGAACAAGCATCACACTTACCAAGTCAAATTTCTTTTCAGGGGGGCTCTCTGCTAGCAAGTCAAGAGGCATTATTGGGGTAGAGTACGCCTCCTACATAAAATACATGTAAAATTGAAGAGCATTGACCGTGAACTCAACAATCAAACTAGATTGATATACGACATTTCAAACCTGCAGAGCAGCCTTAGTGGGGATGCGAAATGTTATGATTGTTGGAGCACCATAAAAAAGTTTTTTAGATTTGGCCTCCAACTCAAAAGAATGTGATAGGGAACCACCTCTGGAATAAAAAAAAAACATGAGAAAGAAAGAGATGTATCCAAAAGCACGGGGTCAGCTTATAAAAAGGAAGTGTATATGTAGGCCAATAAACTATAACTCACACATCAAGACGTTCCCATGACATAGATGTGTTACCATCAATAATGTCAAATGCATCTTTGGGCCAGCTACC